AGGCAAGGTGTTGCTGTGTTGCCTAGGCTAGTCTCAAACTCCTGGGCTCCAGCACTTCTCCTGCCTGAGCTTCCTGAAGTGCTGGGATGATAGGCGTGAACCACCACACCCAGCTGATGGGGTGCTTTTTATGGTTGTTTAAGGAAACTGGAATCCAGACTTTTTTTTTTTTTGAGACGGAGTTTCGCTCGTTACCCAGGCTGGAGTACAATGGCGCGATCTCGGCTCACAGCAACCTCTGCCTCCTGGGTTCAAGCAAAAATTAGCGCGCCACCATGCCCAGCTAATTTTTGTATTTTCAGTAGAGACGGGGTTTCACCATGTTGACCAGGACGGTCTCAATCTCTTGACCTTGTGATCCATCTGCCTCAGCCTCCCAAAGTGCTGGGATTATAGGCGTGAGCCACAGCGCCTGGCCAAAATCCAGACTTTTATATGAAGCCTCTTGATTTTTAAATGTTGGCAATTAATTATTATTATTTTTTAAAGACAGGGTTTCACTATGTTGGCCAGGCTGGTCTTGAACTCCTAACCTCAGGTGATCCACCTGCCTCAGCCTCCCAAAGTGCTGGGATTACAGGCGTGAGCCACCACGCCCGGCCCTGTTGGCAATTAATTCAAATGAGGCCCAGGTGCAGTGACTCATACCTGTAATCCCAACACTTTGGGAGGCTATGGTGGGCAGATCACTTGAGGACAGGATACCAGCCTGGCCAACATGGTGAAACCCCATCTCTCCTAAAAAAAAAAAAAAACAAAAGTCAGCCGGGCATGGTGGTGAATGCCTGTAATCCCAGCTACTTGGAAGGCTGAAACACGAGAATTGCTTGAACTCAGGTGGAAGAGGTTGCAGCGAGACGGGAGTACACCACTGCACTCCAGCCTGGGCAAAGAGTGAGACTCAGTCTCCAAAAAAAAAAAAAAAAAAAAAAAATTAATTCAAATGAAAACCTACAACATCCCACAATACTCAAGTGTCAAAAAGAGAGTTCAGAGACTGGCTTTGGCCCATGAACTGCCAATATAGAGGAAGACTGCTATAAATGAAACCAAGATAAGCAAACAGAGTCCAATTGCTGGCCGGCTTCCTGGACACCTGTAGTTGAGCACATGGTGGGAACAGCTGGCCTAATTTGCCCTTTTCTCCCTGCAGGACACCAAGCCATCCTATGTGCACAGTGGCTTTTGAGTTCCATAGTCCTAAGCTAGCTCAACAGAGAACTCCTGGGCAGGAGGCTAAGTTGTCTTCAAATCAGGGAGCCTGCACGGACAGCAACAGTAGAGGAGGAGAGCAAGAGCAGCTGAGAACCCCATCAAAGAGACGACCGTATCATAACGTCAACCAGAACCAACGATGTCTGTTTGAAGGCTTAACTTCTAGCCAGGCGCGGTGGCTCAAGCCTGTAATCCCAGCACTTTGGGAGGCCGAGGCGGGTGGATCACGAGGTCAAGAGATCGAGAGCATCCTGGCCAACACGGTGAAACCCCGTCTCTACTAAAAATACAAAACATTAGCCAGGCATGGTGGCGCGTGCCTGTAATCCCAGCTACTCAGGAAGCTGAGGCAGGAGAATCGCCTGAACCCAGGAGGCGGAGGTTGCGGTGAGCCGAGATCGCGCCATTGCACTCCAGCCTGGCTAACAAGAGTGAAACTCTGTCCCCCCCCGCCCAAAAAAAAAACAACAAAAAAAAACTTCTATTCAACCTTGTAAGAAATATAAACAGGTCCCATACTCACTACCAGAAGAAATGTTAGATGCATTTGGAATAGAGCTAAGACATTAGCAATAAGAAAAGAAGCAGGATCTGATTTTTTCCTGCAACTCAAACCAAAACAAAAATTAGACTCACCTACTATCCGTTGCCCATCTTCCGTTCTTAGCCGGACGATCTGCATTTTCACGTTTGTGCCACTGACAGATGCTAGAACACCCTCAACTTTTGTCCAGACACTCAGCACTGAACCACATAATACATAATATGTACGGCAACGAAGACCTATTTCACAAACTAACCCCAAGCTTGCTTTTTTGCAATTGCCACGCCTAAGAAAAATGGGAAATACATATATGTGAGTGTTTGTCAATATATGTATACACCCCCCCCAAAGTCAAATCAAATTTTTTTCTTTTTATTTTTTTTGAGATGGAGTCTCCCTGTCACCAGGCTGGAGTGCAGTGGCACAATCTCGTTTCACTGCAACCTCCAACTCCCTGGTTCAAACGATTTTCCTGCCTCAGCCTTCCAAGTAGCTGGGATTACAGGCATGCACCACCATGCCTGGCTAATTTTTGTATTTTTAGTAGAGATGGGGTTTTACCATGTTGGCCAGGATGGTCTTGACCTCCTGACCTCATGATCCACCCACCTTGGCCTCCCAAAGTGCTGGGATTACAGGTGTGAGCCACCGTGCCTGGCTACAAATTTCAAATAAACAGTTTTGGAATTATTTGTCTTTATTATTTCTTAGATTATAATTCTGTTGGCCTGTTGAATTATCCTTTCCAATTTAAGGTATTGGTTTCCAATTTAAGGTTTTGAAAGGACAGTTTTTTCAGGGGACTGCCTCCCTATAGGGTTGAATTAGCTTGGCACAATGGCTCACACTTGTAATCCCAGCACTTTGGGAGGCTGCTGCATGTGGATCATGAGGTCAGGAGATCAAGAACATCCTGGCCATGGTGAAATCCCGTCTCTACTAACATACAAAATAAATAAATAAATGAACAAACAAACAAATAAATAAAAATTACCCAGGCGTGGTGGCACACACCTGCAGTCCCAGCTACTCAGCAGGCTGAGGCAGGGGAATCACTTGAACCTGGGAGATGGAGGTTGCAGTGAGCCAAGACTGTGCCACTGTACTCCAACCAGCCTGGCGACAGAGCAAGACTCCATCTCAAAAAAAAAAAAAAATACAAAAAAAGATTGAATTTATCATGTTTGCTAACTGTTGAAGGATTTGTTATTTTAATATCCATTATTTGTTTTTTTTTTTTTGTTTGTTTTTGTTTTTTTTTTTTGAGACGGAGTTTCGCTCTTACCCAGGCTGGAGTGCAATGGCGCGATCTCGGCTCACCGCAACCTCCGCCTCCCGGGTTCAGGCAATTCTCCTGCCTCAGCCTCCTGAGTAGCTGGGATTACAGGCACGCGCCACCACGCCCAGCTAATGTTTTGTATTTTTAGTAGAGACGGGGTTTCACCAGGTTGACCAGGATGGTCTCGATCTCTTGACCTCGTGATCCACCCGCCTTGGCCTCCCAAAGTGCTGGGATTACAGGCTTGAGCCACCGCGCCCGGCCAATATCCATTATTTGTATTGCTAGTTTATAAAATTATCTTGTTAGCCAGGCATGGTGGCTCATGCATGTAATCACAGCACTTTGAGAGGCTGAGGTGGGAGTACTGTTTGAGTCCGAGTTTGAGACCAGCCTAGGCAACATGGCCAGGCGCTGTCTCTACAAAACATTTAAAAGTATTAGCCAAGAACGGGCATGGTGGCTCATGCCTATAACCCCAGCACTTTGGGAGGCTGAGGCGCGTGTGAATCGCTTGAGGCCAGGAGTTCAAGACTAGCCTGGCCAATGGGGAGAAACCCAATTTCTACTGAAATAAAAAATTTAGCTGGGTATGGTGGCTCATGCCTTTAATCCCAGCTACTCAGGTGGTTGAGGCACGAGAATCGCTTGAACCTGGGAGGAGGAAGCTGCAGTAAGCCAAGATGATGCCACTGCACTCGAGCCCTCGGTTTCAAAAAAGAAAAAAAGAGATCCTGCCATGAAAAAACAAACATCTGCACAAAAGAAAAGAAGGAGCCGGGTGCAGTGGCTCACGTCTGTAATCCCAGCACTTTGGGAGGCCAAGGCGGGTGGATCATGAGGTGAGGAGCTTAAGACCGGCCTGACCAACATGGTGAAACCCCACCTCTACTAAAAATACAAAATTAGCTGGGCATGGTGGCACGTGCCTGTAAACCCAGCTACTCGGGAAGCTGAGGCAGAACTGCCTGAACCTGGGAGGTGGAAGTTGCAGTGAGCTGAGATTGCCACCACTGCACTCCAGTCTGGGCGACAGAGTGAGACTCTGTCTCAGAAAAAGGGAAAAAAAAAAAAAAAAAAAGAAAGCGAAGCGGAGAGGAGGGGGCAAAGATTCTACCAGTTATTTCTATATTATGAAATTAATAATATATTGTTCTAAAATCACATTAGTGGGAAGGACTCAGCAATCTAGAGAGGAGATGGAAAGAGGTGGGAGAGGAGGGAGAGACTACATTTAAATTTAAGAAGAAATAAGGCTGGGCGTGGTGGCTCACACCTGTAATCTCAGCACTTTGGGAGGCCAAGGTGGGTGGATCCTGAGGTCAGGAGATGGAAACCATCCTGACCAACACGGTGAAACCCTGTTTCTACTAAAATCCAAAAAACTAACCGAGCATGGTGGTGTGCGCCTATAGTTCCAGCTACTCAAGAGGCTGAGTCAGGGGAATTGCTTGAATCTGGGAGGCAGAGGTTGCAGTCAGTCGAGACTGTGCCACTGCACTGCACTCCTGCCTGGTGACAGAGCAAGACTTCCTTTCAAACAAACAAAAAACAAAAAAACAACAAAAAACAAAAAAACAAACGAGAAAAAGGGGAAAATGCCACCAATGTTTGTTTTATGGTTAAAATTATTTTCAGAATTCATCAATAAAGATGTCCTTCTGGTTAGCACTAATTCAAGATAAATATACAGTGTTAAATGTACACATATAAGACATCTTCTTGCTGTAATTCAAAACAAATGTTTGTTTTTAATTTTTTGCAGAGATGAAGTCTTGCTGTGTTGAGGAGGCTGGTCTCAAACTCCTGGCCTCAAACAATCCTCCCTTCTTGATCTCCCAAACTGCTAAAAGCCACAGCACTGTCCCCAGTGCAAATGTTTTAGAAAATGTTTGTATGGACCGGGCATGGTGGCTCACACCTGTAATGCCAGCACTTTCAAAGACCCAGGCAGGTGGATCACAAAGGTCAGGAGACCAGCACGGCCAACATGGTAAAACCACATCTCTACTAAAAATACAAAAAGTAGCTGGGTGTAGTGGCAGGCACCTGTAATGCTGGCTACATGGGAGGCTGAGGCAGGAGAATTGCTTGAACCTGGGAGGCAGAGGTTGCAGTGAGCCAAGATTGTACTGCTGCACTCCAACCTGGGCAACAGAGCAAGACCCGCCTCAAGAAGGAAAAGAAAAGAAAATGTTTGTAGGTTAACTTTTGAAAGTGTTAAACATTTTTTTTTTTTTTAAGACAGAGTCTTGTTGTCACCCAGGCAGGAGTGCAGTGGCATGATTTTGGCTCAACGCAACCTCCACCTCCCAGGTTCAAGCAATTCTACTGCCTCAGCCTCCTGAGTTGCTGGGATTACAGGCATGCGCCACCACACCCGGCTAATTTTGTATTTTTAGTAGATACTGGGCGCTTCTCCATGTTGGTCAGGCTGGTCTCAAACAGACAACCCTAGGTGATCTGCCCACCTCGGCCTCCCAAAGTGCTGGCATTACAGTCATGAGTCACTGCACCTAGCTTTTTTTTTTTTTTTTGGAGACAATTTCAGTCTTGTACCCCAGACTAGAGTGCGATGACACGATTTTGGCTTACTGCAACCTCCGCCTCCCGGGTTCAAATGATTCTCCTGCCTCAGCCTCCTGAGGAGCTGGGATTACAGGCACCTGCTACCACACCTGGTTAATTTCTGTATTTTCAGTAGACATGGGGTTTCATCATGTTGGCCAGCCTGGTCTCGAACTCCTGACCTGAGACGATCGGGCTACCCAGGCCTCCCAAAATGCTGAGATTACAGGCGTAAGCCACTGCACTCAGCTGAAAAAGCAAGTTCTAATATAAAGGATGAGTGTTAAGTTCATGCTGCCAGAAAACGGTTGGAAATAAAAAAGCATCAGTGAAGAGTAAGGAGGTACATAAACAGTTTCTGGTCCACAACTGTCCAGTAAATATTCCTGATGGAACACACCATGCCTGGCAATACTTAATCTGTTCGTTAATTCATGAGGGCACACCAGCAAAGAGTGAAGGTGCATTTAAAATCTCAATTAAATTTTGGAAAACATGGTAGGAAACACGAAAATACTAACCAATAAGCATGAGTACAAGTATCTGCAGATGAATTATACTGATCTAACCAGTGCATCAGGGCATCATCTGAGACAACCTGTAAAAATGAGAGAAATTTCACTGAAAACAGCATTTCTTTAAATAAACTGCTTACCTAATCTGGTAATTCTAGAGGCAGCCAATTTAAAATAATCTCTACCCAAAAAACTTAACCCTCGATATTAGCTGAATCTGAATGCCATTTGAAAAGTTCTGTCATGCTGGTTCCTCTTATGTAATTAAGTTTTCAAATAACTAAATTAACTATAATTGTTTTCAAATGAGAATGGCTAGGTATAGTAGTATAAGGTAATATTAATAAAATAAAACATAATAGTAAATGTTAGGAAAAATAGTCACTTACTGTTTTCTATAAATCACTGCAAAATATAAACACAGAAGCATCCTCACAATAAAACTAAGAGGTAGTGAAAAGGACTTTTTTTTTTTTTTTTTTGAGACAGAGTCTTGCTCTGTCGCCCAGGCTGGAGTGCAAGGGAGGCTAAGGCATGGGAATCAATTAAACCGGGGAGGCCGTTACAGTGAGCCAAGATCAAGCCACTGCACTCCATCCTGGGCAAGGGCAGGAGACATCTTAGAAGTTTAAGCCTGATAACATTAAGACTGCGGTATTAGCATAACAAAAGTTCACATTTTCCTTAAACCAGGCTGGGTGTGGTGGCTGACACCTGCAATTCCAGCACTTTGAAATGCCGAGGTGAAAGGATCTCCTGAGCCCAGTAATTCCAGACCAGTGCAGCCTTTGCAACATAGCGAGACCTCATTACAAAACAGTAACCAAATAAGAAAAAAGTAATTTCATACCCAGAGCAACTATCTTAAACAGTTTCAAAGTATTATTATAAATAAGTATTTTTTTCCTTTTTTTTTTGAGATTGCGTCTCACTCTGTCGCCGTAGCTGGAGTGCAGTGGTGCGATCTTGGCTTACTGCAACCCAGCTTCCCAGGTTGAAGTGATTCTCCTGCCTCAGCTTCCTAGGCAGCTGAGATTACAGGCGTGTACCACCACACTTGGCTATTTTTTTGTATCTTTAGTAGAGACGAGGTTTCACCATTTTGGCCAGGCTGGTCTCAAACTCCTGACCTCAGGTGATCCACCCGCCTTGGCCTCCCAAAGTGCTGGGATTATAAGCGTGAGTCACTGTGCCCAGCCAAAATAAGTATTCTTATATAACATAATGTACAAATTAGAAAATACCTTCTTGTATTTCTTTTTTAGATCAGCATAAATTTCTAATTTGAGCTGTTTCCCAGTATTCGGTCGATAAACTAAGAAAAGTTTCTTTTTAGGATTCACTTCTTTAACTAAGATGGCAGTTTTCTTGTTGTTTCTTATCTGTTTTTAAAAAATGACAAAATAGAAACATTTTATAATACACACTTTAAGACATGTTTTCGCACCATCACATCAGCAAATATAATCATTTGAGACTGTAACACTAACTAAGTACATGGATAGGTAACTTCAAGAAAGAATGGAAACTACTTGTTTCAAAGACTTTAACACAGCCACATCCAAAGGGCAGTTACTGGATCTTAATTCTGGCTAAAGATGAAGGTTAAAAACCAATGCTATCTTCAGATAACTATTTGGAATTAGCTTCTTCTGTTTCCTGTACCTGGAATTCCAGTCAAGCAGCCTCAGAGAGATAAGAAAAACCAAGTATAAATGGTAACAGTAGAATCTCGGTAGCAGGCATTAGGGGTCTTCATAGAAAATTATTTCACCTCTGCTGTATGTTTTTAACATTTCTCAGTAAAATGAAAAAAAAAGTTACTGTCCTTTGAATAGAATTCACAACCCTCCAAGAGAATGCCTTGGATGGCCCCAGTCCTCAGCACTGGTCTATTCCATCAGTACTGTCTTTCCCTACGTCACAGGGTGTTGAAGGGCAAAGTGAGAGATCACATGATAAAGTGGTCTGGAAACAGCGAAGCTACGTATGACAGCAGAAAGCTAAAATGTTGAACAAATTATCCACACATATGGAGGTAAAAATGGAAGGGAAGCATTAGACAATGCTGGATTCAGGTATATATTTTTAACTTTTTAAAGTTGGATTTATAAGAGAAACTTTAACAGGAAGGAGTTACTCTTAAAACTCCATTTAACACAAGGGAAAACAAATGGAAAATTCATTTTTTCTTTAATGAAGACTGATCAGTTTCGAAACAATCATTTCTGAAGCTAAACTGAAGGAAAAAAAGTTTCAAAGTAAAAGGAGTTCCCTGCCTTCTACACAATAAATCATTGTTTGCGGGACTATTAGCTTTTTATATTAATTCTCATAATAAAAAACACATTATTTTACTTTCTGCTGCGTGGATATTAAAGACCCTTGGTCTTTTACTTGTTCTAATGATTTGAAACTTTATGTATATATAGACAGACGGGGTCACCCAGGCCGGTGAAGAGCAGTAGCACAATCTCGGCTCACTGTAACCTCCCCCTCCCGGGTTCAAGCGATTCTACTGCCTCAGCCTTCCAAGTAGCTGGAACTACAGGCTCGTACCACCATGCCCAGCTATTTTTTTGGATTTTTAGTAGAAATGGGGTTTCACCGTGTTAGCCAGGATGGTCCCCATCTCCTGACCCACCTTGGCCTCCGAAAGTGCTGGGATTGCGGGCGTGACCCACTGCACTCAAGAAACATTGTTACGCTTATTTTTTTTTTTTTTTTTTTTGTCTTTTTGTTTTTTTTTCCTTTTTGTGGAGAACGGGGTCTCGCTATATTGCCCAGGCAGGTCTCGAACTCCTGGGCTTAAGGATCACGAGGTCAAGAGATCGAGACCATCCTGGTCAACACGGTGAAACCCCGTCTCTACTAAAAATACAAAACATTAGCCGGGCATGGTGGCGCGTGCCTGTAATCCCAGCTACTCAGGAAGCTGAGGCAGGAGAATTGCCTGAGCCCAGGAGGCGGAGGTTGCGGTGAGCCGAGATCGCGCCATTGCACTCCAGCCTGGGTAACAAGAGCGAAACTCTGTCCCCCCCCCCCAAAAAAAAAAAAAAAAAAACATTGTTTACATCATTACTGTAAAGTCAAAGTGATTCTGACATTGTCTTCCTAAAGGTAGCACAGGTTACACACTTAGAAGTATTGCTGCTTAATGCAGAGGAGGCTCAAAGGCAAACAAAGACCAGGAATGAACTCTCTAGGGCCACCACTCCTCATGCCCAGCCACCTGTTGCCACGCAGAGAATGAAGGACCAGTATTACTACATCCTTCAACCTAAGGGAAGCTGGGGATCAGGACTTTCACCACAATCTACCAACACTGATATTCTGGCAATAATTTCAAATTAAAAATCATAACCAAGAGCCAGGTGTGTCGGTACATGCCGGAAATCCCAGCTATTCAGGTGGTCGAGGTGAGAGGATGGATCAAGCCCAGGAGGAGCTTGAGATTGTCTTGAAAACAGTAACAAAACCCTATGTGGACCAACCAAAGTTGCATCTGTGGGGGATAGCTGAGTAAAATATGTGAATTCTACCAATGTCAACATCTTGGTTGTGATATTACACTACAGTTTTGCAAAATATTTATCTGTATGGTTTCTTACATGACATGCAAATGAACCTACAGTTCAATCAGTATTTCAAAAACTCCAAAGTCAGCCAGGTGCAGTGGCTCACACCTGTAATTAATTAATCCACCACTTTGGGAGGTCAAGGTAGGGGGATCATTTGAGCCTAGGAGTTTGAGGCCAGCCTGGACAACACAGAGATTTAAAAAAAAAAAAAAAAAAAAAAAAAACTATCCAAGCGTGGTAGAGTGTACCTGTGGTCCCGAAGCTGAGGTGGGAATTGTCTGAGCCCAGGAGGTCGAGGCTGCAGTGAGCCGTGATCATGCATGCCTCTGCAATGCAGCCTGGGTGACAGAGCAAGATCCCATTACAAAAACCAAAACAAAACCAAAAAACCCCAACTCTCAACTAGGAGCCAGATCCTTTGACAGCTTTTCTCTGGATCAAGGATCAGCAGCTTAGACCTGTGGAATCAATCTAGCCTGGGGCTCCTAAAGAACAGTTTAAAGAAGGAAGGAAGGAAGGTGGGAAGAAAAAGGAAGGAAGGAAAACACAGAGAACATGCAATATGGACCACATATGGCCTATAAAACCATACGTATCTGGCCTTTACAGAACAGGTTTAGAGACTCCTGACCCCACTCATTTATGACTTTATCCTGCCTGTGGCATCACCATACATGTAGTTACTTCATATGAGCAAGAACCAGGAACCTTATTTGCAGTCAGTCACTCCATACATATTTGTAAATAGAAAGCAAAATATATTATATACAACCAGTGAAATATTACTCAGCCTTGTAAAAAAGCAACAAAGGGACCAGACACAGTGTGATTCACATCTTTAATCCCAGTACTTTGGGAGGCTGAGGTGGGAGGATCGCTTGAGGCCAGGAGTTTCAAACCAGCCTGGTCAAAAATAGTGAGACCCCATCTCTACAAAAGAAAAATGATGCCGGGCGTGGTGGCTCAAGCCTGTAATCCCAGCACTTTGGGAGGCCGAGGTGGGTGGATTACAAGGTCAAGAGATCGAGACCATCCTGGTCAACATGGTGAAACCCCGTCTCTACTAAAAATACAAAAAATTAGCTGGGCATGGTGGTGTGTGTCTGTAATTCCAGCTACTCAGGAGGCTGAGGCAGGAGAATTGCCTGAACCCAGGAGGTGGAGGTTGCGGTGAGCCGAGATCGCGCCATTGCACTCCAACCTGGGTAACATGAGTGAAACTCCGTCTCAAAATAAAAAAAAAAGAAAAATGAAAAAATTAGCCCCTAGGCCTGCCAGGTGCAGTGGCTCAAGCCTGTAATTCCAGCACTCTGGGAGGCCGAGGCAGGTGGATCACGAGGCCAAGAGATCAAGACCATCCTGGTCAACATGGTGAAATGCCGTCTCTACTAAAAATACAAAACATTAGCTGGGCATGGTGGCGCGTGCCTGTAATCCCAGCTACTCAGGAGGTTGAGGGAGGAGAATTGCCTGAACCCAAGAGGTGGAGGTTGCGGTGAGCTGAGATCGCGCCATTGCACTCCAGCCTGGGTAACAAGAGTGAAACTCTGTCTTTAAAAAAAAAAAAAAAAAAAAATTAGCCCCTAGGCATGGTGGTGCACACCTATAGTCCCAGTTACTGAAGAAGTTGAAGCAGGAGGAACATTTTAGCCCAACAGACTGAAGGACAAAAAAAGAAATGAATAAAATAGTTACAAAAAGGGCCAGGCGCAGTGGCTCAAGCCTGCAATCCAAGCACTTCGGGAGGTCGAGGCGGGTGGATCACGAGGTCAAGAGATCAAGACCATCCTGGTCAACATGGTGAAACCCCATCTCTACTAAAAATACAAAAAATTAGCTGGGCACGGTGGTGCGTGCCTGTAATCCCAGCTACTCAGGAGGCTGAGGCAGGAGAATTGCCTGAACCCAGGAGGCGGAGGTTGCGGTGAGCCGAGATCGCACCATTGCACTCCAGCCTGGGTAACATGAACGAAACTCCGTCTCAAAAAAAAAAAAAAAAAAAAAAAAGTTACAAAAAAAGAGATGAATAAAATAGTTCAACTGATTGAGGCCACTGCTTGAGACAACATGATTAGAGAGAGATTAACCTAAGGACTAGGGAGTGAGTGATGAGCACTAAATGTTAATTACCTGTAGAACTGAGACTAAATGAAGGTCAAAGGCAGAACACATTACATCATTGCTCTATGCTCTGACAATGCAGAAACAGAACAATTAAGATGGGAGAAACACATACAAAAACAAAAGTTTTGGCCAGGTGCGCCGGCTCACACCTGTAATCTCAGCACTTTGGGAGGCCGAGGCAGGTGGATCACGAGGTCAAGAGATCAAAACCATCCTGGCCAACATGGTGAAACCTCATCTCTACTAAAAATACAAAAAATATTAGCAGGGCGTGGTGGTGCATGCCTGTAGTCCCAGCTACTCAGGGGGCTGAGGCAGAATTGTTTGAAACCAGAAAACAGAAGTTGCAGTGAGCCAGGATCGCGCCACTGCACTCCAGCCTGGTGATAGAGTTGAGGCTCCATCTCAAACAAACAAACAAACAAAAAAACAAAGTTGTTTTTTTTTAAACCCATTATTTTCGGGAATACTGAAATCTAGTATAACATTTTATTATCCTGTGTGTCCTAGAGAACAAGGATTCTTGTATAAGAAAAAAGACTTGGCTGGGCACTGTGGTTCATGCCTGTAATCCTAGCACTTTGGCAGACTGAGGTAGGCAGATCACCTGAGGTCAGGAGTTAGAGATCAGCCTGGCAAAGAAACCTTGACTATTAGAAACACAAAAAATTAGCTGGGTGTGGTGGCAGGCACTTGTAGTCCCAGCTACTCTGGAGACTGAGGCAGGAGCATCACTTGAACCTGGGAGGCGGAGGATGCAGAGTCGAGATCCCATCACTGCACTCCAGCCTGGCTGAAAGAGTAAGACTCTGTCAAAAACAAAACAAAACAAGCCGGGCGCGGTGGCTCACGCCTGTAATCCCAGCACTTTGGGAGGCCGAGGCGGGTGGATCACGAGGTCAAGAGATCGAGACCATCCTGGTCAACAT